GTTGTGCATGGTTTTCATCTGAATACTTTGCACATGCCCAGTGCAGAAGGGCATTGGGAGTGGAAGGAAAGGGCTGCTCTTTTGAAGGGTCTCTTTTCTTGTCTTCCACCTAGTGGAGGTGCCTAAGGGACCTTCTCCTCGTCTTCCCTGGATGTTCTGGCCCGTGCTCCCGCAGCCCTGCATGGCAGGAGGTGACCCTGCAGCTGCTTGTCCAGGAAATAAAAGCTCTGTCGAATGGAGCTATTGAAACTTCACCTTTCATCAGCTCTGAGTCTGTGGATGATTTCTGTGGCAAGCTTGTGGCTGTATCAAATTAACTATGAAATGATTTGCATAATAGATTAATCAGCCAGCAACAAAACATCCCTCTTTTCTGCCAAGAAAAGAAAAGCAACAACTCAGCTGTTACAAGGGGCCGTTATGTTCCTTGCAACCCTTAATCTTTTTTTTTCCAAGAGCACTTCGTGTTTTGGCCTTACGCAGGAAGCTGGCCTGCTCACTGCCTTTATTTGCGTCACATCTTGGCAGATTTTTCTGATTCTTCTGGGCCAAATTTTGCCACCGTTATGGTGACCTTCTAGGGAGGGTATTTCCTATGAAATTGGTGGCCAGCTGCCAAATGACTCTTGTGTTGCCAGGTCCTCCATTAGCCTTTGCCTTTCCATTGACTTACTAAAGAGTGAAATTCCTCTGGGCCCCTCGTGCTCTTTCAGAACTGTCCCATTTCCCTGGGGAAGTCAGGGAGCAGGAGAACGAGGGGGATCGGGGAGCCTCAGAGAGCATTTAACTATGAGTGGATAGGAACTGGTCACTGTATTTTATTTTTCCTGTGTTTCTACCTCTCTGTAAACCAGCAGTACGAATTTCCTAACCTGTAGGATCCTCCTGTGGCTCCAGATATGACATCTGTGTGTCCCTGCTTGGTTGAAGAATGCCACCTCTCAAACAGTGCTGGGGGAGTTTTAGTCCGAATGGATCCTAACGTGCAGATAATAAGAGGCTTAACTGCCTAATTGAATGTGATAGCGTGAAGCTTCTCTCATGGTGAGCTTTAATTGGATTATAGTACTGTACAGTGATGTGGAGGCTTGCAGGGCATGCAGCCAGCTTCACAAGGAGAGAGTGGATCCTTGCTAATCACTCATTTGTGTAAAACAATGAGAGCTCTGACCGGGATGCAGCAGCCAGTAGGCCTGGAGGAGGGTTTCCTCAAAAACTGCCCATGTAGACCCTGTCCTCAGTCAGTGCAACTGCAGTAGAGGGTCTGCAGATCTGCCTGGTGAGTCCAGGTCTGGGGAACGGAGGAGATGATGTGCTCCTTATGTTTGGAAAAGTAAGTGTGTGGGCTCTCTTCTTGCCTGCTGGTGTCTGGAACCTGTTTCCTCCTCTAGAACCACTTCAGCCTTTCCTGCAGCACATTGTGTGGGGCTGTGCCTTACTTCTGAAGTGGCCTACTTGTTCCTTCTTGTTTAGCAGCTGTGAGTCTGCAGGCCAGTCTGGCTTCAAGTACAGTTTCTTGTAGGACAAGAACTATTTTTGTTCAGGACTTCCCCTGCTCCAGTGGGAAAGCAATCTAATTTTTAAAGTGCGTGATGAAAGTAAAAACTGGAGCAGCTTCTATGCTGCGAAGTTTGCTTGGCGAAGGATGTCATACATACAGACTAGAGCTGCGGTCTGCAAGCCAGCGAGCGTGTGGTGGCTTGCCTGGCACGGGGTGGTGCATGGCAGCTCCTGTGTTTTGGGTGCAGCTCCTGGAGGCCATGTGCTTTGTGGAAGTCGCTATCTGCCTGAACTGCGGAGTGGCTGTTCTTGGGAGTCTTTGCACTGGAAGTAAGAGTGTTTGGTTTACTGATGTTTCAAAAGAGTTTGAAATCTGCGTGGTTGCTCAGATCTTATTTCAGAAGAGTTGTCAAGGAAAATAGCATTTGTCCTCCACTAAGCAGGCAGATTAGCATAAAATATCAGCTTTGATGTTGTGTGCAGTGTGCTCCTCATCCATAGCCTCTGTGCTGGTTTGGAGAGTTAACTGTTTCTCTCTTAGACGTTTGAACGTGCTGGGAAATGCCCCCAAGGACTGTGTGCTGTTTGGGCAGGGAACAGCAGTGGGACACTGGGAGCTTTTGATCAACTCCCCGTTTCCTGCAGCGGCTCATCTAAGCTGTATTAAAGTGAAACAAATAAATGCGATTGCTTTGCTGTTGCTGGGAAATGGTAGTTTTGCCACCTTTTACCCTGTGCTCTAAGATGTGTGGTACCTCCACCCAAGCTCTAGTTTGGTCTAAACACAAACCAACTCCCCTCTACTGCTTATTTACCTTTTTGGGCAGTCAGGTGCTCTGGAGCTTGTAGGAGGTAAGTGGAAGAGAGTAGGGAAGAGGGAACACTGGTGTTTAAGCAAAACCTGCACAGCTTGCCGATCCTCCTGGGCCCTGGGGAGAGAGTTTCTTTTGTTCTAAAAGGAACAAATCTGGTGATCCAGGATGAATTTTTTTCGAGTGTGTTGCTGAGGCTGGAGAGAGGTGGAGGTTTGAAGGTATGAGAGTGTAAAGACTGATCAAGTGTGTGCCTGTGTGCAGGGTGAGGGGAAACATGTTTTAATCACTCAGCAAAGTACTTTATTTTGCTGTTAAAAGTCTTCTGAAGAAAGACACTGTCTCCTTCCCAGATCCCTGTGCTCTGTTAAGCTCGACTGTTCAAAAATCCTTCCTGTTCTTTTTATTTTTCTACAAAGCCACTGTAGTGTGGAGGCTTGGAGGTGCTCCTCACTGCTGGTGAGTAAATGTCATGTGCAGGAGAGAGATTTCTAAAGGGATCTTCACCTCTGCAGGGAAACACATGGAGGGCTGCAAACGGAGACGTGGGAAAACCACGGAGCTCATAATGTGGTTCTGGCCTGTGTTTCAGGGGTTTCTAGTGCAGAGCTCTCGTTGATGGCTAAAATGAGCTGCAGCTTGCACATACACTTGTCTGATACATGTTTCCCACCAGGCGCTAGGCCAGATCTAGATATAGAGCAGAGAATAGCCCCCATCGAGAGATTCTTAGGAAGCTTTATCTATATATAGTCTATATAAGTCTGTATCCCCTTTCTGCTGAGAGGACAGTCTCTGCCTGGGGAATGTGGTTAATGCAGATATGCCCCGGCTTCTGAGAACCAGGCAAAGGCTCGCTAATATCACGTCTGCCGCATCCTGTGCGAGCGATCCCTAACATGCCTTGGCTTCTGCTGCAGTGGGGAATTCTCTGCCGAGGGCCCCAGCTGGGCTACCCTGTGCAGTGACCACGCTGTTGTGGGAAGCTGGTGACATGCTCCTGCGGCCAGCCAGGCTTAGCTGGAGGAGCTGGCCAGAGGGGAACAGCTGTGAAGGCTGGGGCATGTTGTTCGTGCGGACCTGATGAAGCCCGCGCCTTCGGAGCACGTTTGTCTGTTGGGTGCTCTCATTAAAGCCGTGAGATCGTAGCTTGGCAATGACTTCTCATGAAATAGCTCTTGTGGGATTTTTTGCCAGTGCAATTCCCTTTCTTGCAGTGGCTTGCTGGAGTGTACCATGAGAGGAACCTGCACAGTCATACTGCTGCTGGAATGAGAAACAATTTGCAGTGCTCAGCCCACCTGTCTCATCCTAAGGCAGGAAAAGCAAAACCTAAAAGACTAGCAGGTGGCTTAGGTCAGAAGTGGTAACACACAGCGAGGTGGACAAGGCTGCCCTTTCACACAGCAGTGTGGTCTCCTATTAATTTGTGTAGAGGTGTGGTTTCATGATTTGGATATCTGAGACCATTCCCAGCCAGCCTGCCTTTCCGTATAGTATGTGACTTTTTTCCAACCAGTGCACCAATGGGTTTCATAGCTGTCCTGGCAGCTTCCGAGGGCCAGCTGAGGAGGAGCACAGCCTTCTTTCTACTGCAAAGACTTTGCTGCTCACGTATTATTTTTGCAGCGCATCCTGAAACTGAAGAAGTGAGAAGCTGGGGAGCTTTCTACTCGCTTGAAATGTTGGTGTGCAAATAGCTCGTGACATTCTGTTGGACCTGCTGGAGGCACGGCTTCTCTTTGGATGCATTTGGCTCTGGGATTATGAGTCTAGGTCTTTTTGAAAGAGCAGCCTGGTTTTCTACACTGAAGAGGCTGATTGCTTTCTCATGTCTTTTAGGGAGCTGGTCTGGCAGCATAACTCTCAACCCTGTTCAGGCTGGAACCTTGACAAGATGTGCTCTGCCTTTCCTAAGCCCATGAAAGTTGTAAGGCTGTTGGAGGACATCTCCTCGCACACATTTTTACAAATATAGCAGGATCGTTTGAGGTCACTTGGTCTTGAGTTTCTTCAGGGAGAGCACGCTTCAGCTGGAGGCTGTGCCAGAGCTAGATTTGACTGCCTCTGGAGGGGCTGTTCTGAAAATGGGTGTCTGTGACATGGGGTCTAATCTCAAGACAACCCTGCAAACTTCTGAGCTCATCAGATACACGTGCAGTCTTTATTTCACCTTGTGTGTGTCCTGCTTTCACTACTGCCTCAACCGTGTGAACTCGGTGGTTTGTAATGGGGACACGGACCTTACCATTCTCGGCAGAGCAATTGTAGCACCCCTTTCCTGGCTGTGGGGAGCCAGCATCGGGATCCCTACCTTTGTACCGTTCCATCTGTGCAGTGGGTAGTTGTGGGTGAAAGACACAAGCATTTACCAAGTCCTCTGTCTGTTGCAGCAAAGCTCACTGAAGAGCTCTTTCTCAGATGTGCGTAGAGCTGTGTGTGCTGTCCTGACAGTCCTCAGGTGAGGTTATAGGAGACTTTTTACCAGCTCCTCTGAGGCCAGTGTGTCTGGTGGCTCTTTGTAACCTACCCGCTTAGGCTGCTGCTTGCCAGCACCTTCTGCCTGGCACCAGTGCAAACATTTGACAGTTCTCATGGTAAAGTGGACCAGGGCAGGATTTGGGGGGTGGAGGTGAGGAAGTGGTTTGTGTTTCAGTTGGACCAGTTTTCTGCTGCGTGGTGGTCCGAATGGTTGAGCCGGCAGAGCGCAGCGATGAGGATGGAGCAGGTAACCTATATAATCTAGTGCTGCTGCTGGAAAGACATCAAGTGGGAGCAGTAAGTGGTTCTGCATGCTTGCAATGTATGCACCACATATCTGATTTAACAGAGTTTCTCTTTAGGTCAGGGAAATGACTTTTAATGACTTTTAATGAGGAGAAGTCCAGCCCCTTGTTTAGAGGCTGGCTTGTGTTTTAGCTGTGTGCTAGAAACCCTAGGTGGTCCAAAGCCTTGTATGGGTACTTCAGCTCAGGATTGCTGTTGTCAGAGCTGCAGAGTGGGTCAAGGAGAAGAGATGGCTGGGGTGGAGGTGATCTTTCGTTCTTCTAGGCTCTAAGGGGAGGTCTCTGGTGGTAAGAAGGTTTTGGGAGCTAGTCTCTTTGAAAGAAGATTGTCAGACAGGTGCCTTCTAACTTGAATAATTGACAGTGTAACCAAAGCTACTGGAGATTGTTGGGGATGTAACTGAATCTTTCACACCGATTCTTATGCAAATTCAAACATGTGCTCCTGGTTTCTAATGGGACGCCTACAAATACAACTGCTTCCATTCAGAACTCAGCATCCATGCACTGGGTTAATTGCTAGTGACTTTATAGTAAGAGCGTGACTTGCAGAGCTGCATCTGTAACAGTTTCTCAGTGCTGCCCTTACCTACACACGTGAAGTTTCCCTGTAGATTTTATGTAAGTGACCTGTGGAGGTTCTGGCACATGGTTTGGTATACTTGGTGCTGGAACTGTCCATTGCCATGCTGCTGTGGTTGAGTAGCAAAATGAGCTTGAACGTTTCAATTCTGTTTTCTTCTCTGATGTGTTGGGGCTCACTGAAGGTAGATTAAATGACCTTGAATTCTGCAGAAAATAATTTGATGTATTTAACACTGAATGCAAATAATCTTAAGTTTCTCCCTAGTAAATCTATGACTGTGAGTTGATGAGCATGTTTGATAAGTATTATTTCAGGCTCCTGGGGGAGACTGGTGTCTGCAACCTCCTGGCATAGCTTCAGAATTAGGCTTGTTTTTTCATAAATGTGCCATGTGGTGATGGAGTAGTTGGTCAGAACCATGTGGACTTAATTTCTTTAAAATATAAACAGCCTAGAAATGTTTGTTTATGTACAAAATATCCAGCCAGTGACTGTAAGCATTTCTATGTTTCTACAAGAAATGAAGGTAATTATATAATAAGCAAAGATTCGTATGGCTTAACTTGTCTCCCATCTGGCATTAGTTATATTGGTGTTTTCATCTGCATGACCTTTCAGGGTGGGGAGAAACTATGATAATAGAAAATGTGGCTGAAAAGACCTTTCTAGGCCATCTTCTAGCCTATGTAAAGGCTGGAGCAGCTCCACTGAACAACCCCTGACAGCTGCTTGGGGGAGCGACTGTTCCCCCTCTGCCATGGTCCATGTTACTGGGTAGATACTGTAGTTTTAAAATGGTTTGATTTAGTTGACCGAGGAGTTGCCTGTCCTGTATGCAGTCCTTCCCCAGAGTATAAATTTATATTCAGACTAAATAGATTAACTACAGCAGGAAGAGCTTCTTTCTTAAAAGAAAGCTATTGTTAGAGCCTCGTTTATCATAAATGTCTAGTACTTCTAATCCTGGTTTCCTCCTGTAGCCCGTCCCACCCTTCCACCTGCCTGCTAATTTACAGTTTGCAGGATCTGCTCTGAGTTTCTTGGAGCTGTCCTGCAGCCTTCCTTTTTGGTCTCTTCCTCTTGGATGGGCAGTTTTGAGTGTCAAAAGGATCATTCCAAAATGACCCCTTTCATGAAAATACACCTTCCCACTTTCTAACTGGTGGAAAGATGATATGCTGCTTTCCTGATCAAGTTACACCCACTGCCTTAAAATGAAGGATTTGCAAGGAAAGCTGAGAACTGCAAGAACTGGATCATATATATTTCATGTTGCTAGTGGCTTGCTAGGGGCTGAACTCCCTTTTATTTGCTCTTCTACCTCTTCCCTATGCTGTGCCTGAGAGTGTGCCAGAATTTAAGGTGCTCCGATTTCTCTTTCAGCATGGTGGGACCTGTATCTTTTCTACCAGGGTTCTGCTTTATTTTGCTTAATAAAGTTGAAGAGTGGTAATGTAGTCTTTGTCCTTGCTTCACAAATAGACTTTTGAGTGTCTCCAGGTACTTGGATAAGCTTTGCCTGCTTGTGTTCAGTCCCAGTGAGGATCTGAGACAGCTGTGTGCAGATAGCAAAGCAGATCAGAGGGTTTTTTCCTCCCAACATGTAGCATTCAGCAGCTCAGGCATGAAGCTGCTCACTGAGACAAAACTCTGATGGTTCTTTACCCTTGGCCCATCGGGATGTGCTTGAGGGCCAGAAGCCCAGCTAGTGCTTAGTTCAAGCAAGCAGGTAGAGACTTTTCTAGGGAGAAGGGATTTCAGAGGTGGATTGTCTCAGTTCAGCCTTTGGTCAGCATGCTCCTGTTTGTCTGACATGTAAACGGCAGGTCCTGCTGGTTGTCTGTCAAAAAAAAACTGTTTATAATAAGCTTTTGCTCTTTGTTCAATTGTTTCCTTGTTCCAGGATCATAACCTAAGCAGCCCGGCAGTGCTGAGCAGCTCTGTTTATGTTCCTGCTGCACCTGCATTCAAGGCCAGCTTTCTGGTGCTGGTCCCTTGCCATGCATGTGTTGAGTGCTGAGCTCTACGTGGTGCCCTGCACAGATGCTGATGGTACTGCATTTTGAAGATGCATCTGCCTTGTCTGGGTTCAGATGCTTAGCTTTGCATCATTGCTCTCCTGGAGGTCTAAGTATCCTGGTTCCTGGTGGTTCTGCCTTTGTACAGTGTTAGCATTCAGGAGGATCCCTGCATGAAAAAACCTGTTGTACCTAGGTGCTTGAGTACATGCTCTGGTCCAGAGCTGGGTTGAGAGTGGGTTTAGCCCACCCTCACCAGTGTCCCAGCTGTGTGCTGTCTCCTGCATTCTTGTGTTGTTAACTTCTCCTCTGGTTTCTGTCATTGTTGCTGAAGGCCACTGTTGTGGTTTTCAGCAGTGAAAGCCACATGTGGTGCTTGGCTTCCAGCAGACTTGGAATCGGTGCATGCTTTCCTGCAGAATGGGTCACGGTGAACTATCTGGTGAATATTGGTAAAGTTGTACAGGGCTGCTAGGGAGATGGGGAAAAGGTGTCTTTTATCTTGTGTGCTTCCAAGTGCCATGTAGATTACTCCACTCTGGCACTAAAGCAAGCAACCGCACAGGAATCCTGCTTTTCTTAGCTCTGAGTAGTAGTGTGCTTGGATACGGGGCGTGTGTTTGTGTGAGTGCCACCACAGTGAGCTCTGAGGTAGCTCTTGGTTTAGGACAACTGTAAGATGATTTCACTCTGCTTTGCTTTTCTTCACTTCCACTAGGTTGTTGTATTTCTTTCTGGTGGTGGTCAGACTTGCTGATGGTTCATATTTTAGCGAGGAAAAAATGCCCCTTGTTGGGGTTCTGGTATGTCTGTATACGATCAAAAATGTTGAGTGGGCTGGGAATAGCGTCCGGCAAAGTCGTATCAGTTTCTTGGAGCTCTTTTGTTCAACAGAAATTCCTTTCTTTTCTCTCCCCCTTCCCATCCCCCTGACAGCCCACATCTTTTCTAAAAGGACATGCTGAGGTATAATTCACAGTCCTGTGACTGAAGTGAAATATGCACAGCTGCACATGCATTTTTTAAATGATACTTCATTGTCAAGGCATCTCTCTGAACAGGTTTGCAGTTCCAGCAGCCAAGTGATCAGAATGTGGTAACAAAGAGGGTTTTGTTGAAAACACTTGACTTTGATTTTTATCAAGCTCTGAGAATATTTTGACCACTCGCTCTACTTCTGTGTGCAGATAGGAAGTATCTGGAGCAGGGTAGATCCACAGAAGAGAAATACGTTGGATGTGTCCCTGAGAAAAGGGTGCTTAGTTGAGTTCACCTTTGCTCTCCCTGCGTTGTGTTGCAGAAGTCATATGACAGCTGGAATACAATAGAGGACACATTAGCCAAAAGTTTTATTGATGACTGAAGTATCAGGAATATCCAGTCTTGCATGCTGCAGCTCTCCTCTACCTTCCCACTGAAAGGAGAAATTTTGCAACTCTTTCCTCTTTGGATCCATCAGACTTGATGCTTTTCTGATTTCTTTCTTTTTATGGTCCATAACAAAGCCCAGCAACTGGAAGCTGTGGGTGTACCATGTTCTGTATCGTATTCTGTTGGCAGTCACTGTGGCCCAGGGCTGCCAGAATTTGGTATGGGGCTGACTGAATCACAGGCCATACCAAAAGCCAACATCTGTTTATAGGTAAATTGAAACAGATTTCTTGACATCCAGGACATCATAGAAGGCTTGTACCAGTTTAAAGGCAGAATTTGGTGTAGCTTAGTGTGAACAATTCTCTAAACTCTGGAAATTCAACAGTTCATTTTGTCTCCCACAGTTTCTGCCTCTTGAATGATGAATTCGGACTCCTTCTCTAGCTTTTGTTTCTTTGTTTTCTGTCCTCTGCAAGCAGACTGCTGCTGCTCTTGCTGACAGTCTCCTGGGCTATCTTGGTTCCAAAATTATCACCAGATTTTCCAAGCTATCACGTGAGTAACTTCAGGCTTTTCTTCTGTGAGTGAATTCACACTCTCCACCAGCCCTCCAAGACGACCTGCTCCGAGTGGAAGCAAATCTGTGTTTTAGATGGTACATCTGCAAACAAAAGACCCTGCTCAGTATTAGTCATGGGGAGACATCTGTGTCTGTAGTGTTCTTGCTGATTCGGGTGTGAAAACAGAGAAATGATTTCTAAATGTTCGCATAATTACAAATTTCTGTGCAGACAGGATTCTCGTACATGTAACATAGCAAAACAGTTGTAGCATGCATCTCCTTGGCTCCAGTATTTCCTTCAGCCAGTTTCAAGGTGCTTGCTCTGAGCTGATGAGCTGACCTTTGCTTCACAGTGGTGGAAATGAAGGCTCAAAATAAACAGCTGAGGAGAGGTAGAAAATCTATGCTGGCTCTCTGGAGAGATTGAGCTGACCAGGATTGTGAGAGTCCCAAAA